TGTGTGTGTGTGTGTGTGTGTGTGTGCATGCATGTGCACGTGGAGGCCAGAGGTTAATGGTGCACATTTTCCTCTATTGGTCACCCCCCCACATACACCTACATCTTTTGAGAAGATTGTCTCACTGGACCTGAACCTCACCAATACGCCTAGACTAGCTGCCCACTGAGCTGCTGGGATCCCCTGGTCGTTGCCTCTTCAGTACTAGGATTACAGAAGGACACTACTATGCTTGGCCTTTATTGTGGACACTGGGGATCTGAACTAGGTCCTCATGCTTGTGCATCAAGAACTCTGCCAGCAGCTTCCTCTCCAGCTGTCGTGCTTATGTTGATATGTAAACTGTGTTCACACTTTGCATTTCATTTGTTGTCAAGTAGCATTCCATCCAGCACACATGCCACAACTTTACTCATTCATCTGATGAATGTTTTGATTGCTTCTACTTCTTGGCTATTACACATAAAGTTTCTTGGAACATTAGTGATAAAGTATTTGTATGAGGTCTGCTTCCATTTATTTTAGATAAACACTTAGAAATGGAGATAGATGGATCGTGCACACAGACATTGATGCTAGCTAAAATAAATGATCAAAGTAGTCAGCATTTTGATCTCTATACATGAACCTTTTTAATCTTGTGAGTGCTTTTGATCATGTGCCAAGTGAGAGATCATTTCCTATAGCAATGTACACATTTCTATAATTAAAACTTCACAGAACCACCTAAGCCGTTATGTACTTTTGCCTTGGTGAAGATAAAATTCCATGGGTTTTCTCCAATCCTATATTCCCCTCTGCCCCAATGCTTAACTTTTAGAAATGTCAAATTTCTAGAACTTCCACCCTTTAAGATTTTAAGTTGAGAATGCACAAAGTCACAGCTTCAGAGGCCTAGAAATCTCCAAATACATGAAAACAGTCTCCATTGCTATAAATAAAAACCTGAAACCTGTCACAGTTGGTTAATATCACCCACGTTCTGAGCCACGGACAGAGAGGAAAGAGGCAAAAACAAAACATCTGTTGCTTTATATAGAAACTGAGCACATGCCAGAAAAACAAACCATCAGTGTTCAGGCACATGGAGATTTCCAGTGATCATCCATAAGATGTGAGCCAGGGAGTACCATGTTCAGTCCTGGTTAGTGTCTGCAACATTCGCTACCAACTAGAGCAGAAGGAAACTCGGTGAGAGCTCTCTCCCTCCCTCTGCTAACACCCACTACCCAGAGCTTGAAAAGTCTCACAATTGATCCCTTCACTCAGCATCACTGAGGAGAAGGTGCACCTACAGAGTGCCTCCTGAATACTATCGCCTGCCCATTTCTCAGCTCAGTAAATCCTGGAGCAATCATATGGTAATTTGAATGTAATTGGCCCTGATAACTCACAGGGAGTGGCACTACTTGGAGGTGTGGCTTTGTTGGAGTAGGTATGGACTTGTGGTATGGTATGGAGGAAATATGTCACTGTGGAGGTCAGCTTGAGGTCTCATATGTGCCAAAGTCATGCCCAGTGCTTGAGGCCATTTCCTGTTGCCTTCTGATCAAGATGTAGCCAGCACCATATCTGCCTGCATGCCGCCAAGCTCCCAGGCATGATGACAATGGACTGAACCTCTGAAACTGTAAGTGAGCCACCCCAATTAAATGTTTTCCTCATAAGAGTTGCGTGATCATGGTGTCTCTTCACAGCAATAGAATCCTAACTAAGACAACCCAGTAGTGCGTAGTATGCATACTCTGATGACCAGGACTGAAGTGAAAGCAGCGGCACATACAGAGTGGTTGGAGGAGGCTCCAGCACCCCTCCACCCCATTCAAAGATGTTTCTGGTCTACATTCTACACACACCAGCCACCGAGCCTGAATAACTAGACTATACAGTAGACTAGAGACTCTTGGGCTAATTCGTTGCTTCATTGGTGATAATGCAAGTGTGTCTGTCAGTCATGCAACGCAGCATAGCAAATCTATGCCTCTGAAAAATGATAATTCATAACTCAGATCCAGGTGAAGCAAGGGGGAAAGAAAAGACATGCTGAGACAAGAAGACAGCTCTGGAACTTTCATCATAGTTTGGGCCCAAGGGGAAGGGCTAGAAGTAATTCAGTGATGCCCGAGAGCAAATGTTTAGGATCAGCATGCAAAACAAAGGGGGCAAAGGTCACTTTATTCACTGCGGTTGCGCCATTTGTACTTACAGTAAAAGAAGAACGATCTCAGTAAATGGGTATTGCAGGATGTATTGTAAATAAGGAAGAGGAGATTGAAAATGCCTGAAGACAGGAGATAATGAGAACTTATTTTCCTAGAATGAGTGAAAAAACATCAAGAATGTTAAATTATGATAGGGAATGTGAACATCCATTATGTGGGAACCTCTTAAGGAACAGAGTACCAAAGAAAGATTTACAAACCTAAATAAACATTCTTAGATGGCATTTCCCAGAATGTGCTGGTGGGGCACGGAGTGGGTAAGCAAAAGAAAAAGAGAGTAGGTGCAAAGTTGGGTTCTGTTAGGAGAAGATGAAAAGGGCAAGGACTTAGTAAAATGAAATATCCTTTAAAATACAAGGGAAAAACAGGTTAGGGACTTAGCTCAGTGGGAGAGCACTTACCTAGTGTCTATGAAATCCTGTGTTCACACTCCAGCAAAACACACACACACACACACACACACACACACACACACACACACACACACACACACACACACAGAGTGTTGGGGAGACAATGTGAATCAAGTTAAAGATTCTTTATAAAACAAAACTTATAGTGTTAAGAACTTTTCTGTTTGTTTGTTTTGTCTTGTTTCATTGGTTGGTGGCTGTTTTGTTTTTGTTGTTTTGTTTTGTTTTGTTTTGTTAGATAGGGGTCTAGCTGTACAGTCCAGGCTTGGACTCGAACTGATGATGTAGCCCAGGCTGACCTGGAAATCATGGTGTTTATCCTGCCTCAGCCTGCTGCTGAGTGTGGTGGTTTGAGAGAGATGTGCACCATCATACCCAGCATGAAGGAGCTTTCATAGGCATTTCCTGAGTATCTGGAGTTAGGGGAAAGTGTTTCCTCAGTCTTCGAATTCTTTCTATACATTGTTCCCAAGGTGATCATCTGCAAGGGAAATGGCCCTGTAGTGTTGGACAAAATCATCAGTTCACAGTGGCACTGCCCCTTGGCCACATAAGAACTAATGAAAACCAGAAACAACAAAGCAGGATGACTCTTGGGTGAGAAGTCAACAGAATTTGTTACAGAAGCACCTGGGAATTTGGTGAGATTGGACTAGATATTGAAAAACAATATGGCCAGCCTTTACATTTTAAACTAGAACTTCCACTTGATCGAGCAGTCTCACTGCTGGATATATACACAAAAGAAATAAAATTGTTATGCTGGAGAAGTTTCTGAACTCCCATGTTTTTAAAAAATAAATTTAATAAATATTATTATAAAAAACTTCATAAAATATAACCACACATCAGAATTCACTAGACCCAAGGTCTATACATGTCAATCAACTTCTGTGCAGTTAGAATAACCATTTGGAACAGGTGCTGTGTAACACACTTATGTTTATTGTCACATTATTCACAATAGCCAAGAAATGGAGAATCAAAAGGGTTCACCAACTTATGAATGAATATAGAATAGAGGAAAGGGAGGGTTGAGAAGAGCTAATCATTGGTTACCGAGTTACAGTCATGACTGATAATAGTGTGTGTGTGTGTGTGTGTGTGTGTGTGTGTGTGTGTGTGTGTGTGCACTTGCTACTTATATTGTTTTTAACCACATAAATTGTGTTTGAAAAGATGTGTATGTTTGACCTTATTTAAAAATCATACAAAGTACACACCTATAGGAACATTCCATGGCCCATCATTAATATATTTGTATTTTTTTGCCTGTCAGTTAAAGAAAATTTAATTTAAATTAAAAAAATTACTTTAAAATAAATAATAGGTCACCTTTCCATGATGTTAAGAAGTGATGGCTGGATGTTTAGCCCGAAAGAGGTTCTTTATTCCAGCCCTCAAAGGCTTAGGGAATATTTCAGAAGAAGAGAGTGAAAATCTTGTAAGGGCTGGAAGGGAGGGAAGAGAGCCATGAGAGACCATCTTCCGGGCAAGACATGGCCATTGCAGTCATCAAATAACGCAGCTGTGGTTACTGGCTCTGGGCCAGCATAAAATTGGCCAGGCCAACAGCCAGCCATGGTTGGGGGAGGGGCTCACGGCCCTTATAGGTGAACTACTGGCTGCTGACAATCACAGATGAGGGGCCGTCATTGCCTTCATCTGTGTACACACGGGTGAACTCACCAGGTTCCAGCGGGTTAATTCCAAACCTGTGGTCACAAAGAGGGCCCTGGTTAAGGCCCTTGCATCAGGAAATAAAACAGTCACGGATATGGAAGAGAGATTTTCAGGGAAGATGGGAGGAAGACGAGAGTGGGAGGGAGGTACTAGAGGGTAGAGGAAGGTAGTAATCAGAGTGCATTATACACATTTATGAAATTGTCAAGGGAAAAAATCAATCAAAAAGAATAGGTCAAGTACAGACATGAAAAAATACGCTGAGTGGAAGCAGGAGTTAGAGTGGTAGGTGCATCGCTGTGGGATGCTATTAGAGGAGTGCATATAAAGGGAATGAATGTTAGACGGTATGTAAGGCTATGCTGGCTTTACCTCTGACAAGAAATAGAATTTAGAATTATTTGGCAAATTCAATTTAAATCTACTACATTTGATTGCCTTCTTACACATTTTAAATCTGGCTCTTGGGTAAAAAATAGCACCCTGCAGCCATTTATTTGAGCTGGGAAACAGTTCAGAGGTACAGCAGAGAGACAGGCAGGGAGAACTAAGGATGTCACCTATATTCCTGCAGCATAGCCAGCAGGACTTGGAGGACACTGGTGTGTGTGTGTGTGTGTGTGTGTGTGTGTGTGTGTGTGTGTGTGTGTGTTAATGATGGAATTCTTTTGCCTCTGAATAGGAACTCGGCTCTACAGATGGTCATGGCAGCACCAGGCATGCGTATCTCCCATCTGAGTGTGATGGAGGAGCAGGTAAGCTGTAGTACTCGGGTGTGTAGGGCGGCAGATTCACAGTGAGGACTGAGGGAGGGTCGGAGGCAGACTCCTTTAACCTCTCCTAAGCTTACTTATCACATAAGCTGTAACCTCCTCTTGTGAAAGGAAAAACAGGAAAATGCCCTCGATCCCATGTCTGCTTTTAAATAGGGCCCGATAAACCCTCTCATCATGATTGCAACCTATCTACAGTTTTTCTGAATCCTTTGGTCAAGCATCAATTATTATGAGTCATTCCAAGACACTGTTGCTGTGTCTTCCTGGGGCAGACATGACCGTATTACTCCTTCCTGAACTTGATACTGCTTTTAGCTTGAAACAAATTCTAGTTTCAAAGTATAAGCATTATGGAACATGGTTCTGCAATTCCCTCTCTCCAGTGAGGTGACCTGACATGTGAAGGCAATTACCTGTTTAACGGGGGTGCCAAACTTCTTTCTTGCACAGCTACTTTCGTTTTGATATGTTTGGCCTTCACATGCTCCTCTGCATCTACTTCCCGGCATCCTTGTGTGGGCTGACCTCTATTTTTTTTTTTTTTTAACTTTTCATGATAACTTTTTTTTTTCTCATTAGCTTCTCAACACTGGGAGATGAAATTAGAACTGGGTTCATCGTTTACTACCATCAATTGCCTTAAATTTTCAAACTGGTAACTAGTAAACTAGACTCTTCCAGAGATAGCTGTGGTGCTGTGGGCGAGGCCTTCCCTCCAGGCACCCACTTATGTGAGAAGTAGGTGGCCTGTGCTCTGGTTTTTCTGCTGTTTGAAAGGCTGTTCTCACAGAGGCCTGAGGTCTTCTGTGTGCCTGCTGACTACAAGCTACTAGCTTGCTCTGTTAGCAAGCTTTCTCCTTTCTCAACCTGAGTCTTTGCCTTTTCAAAAATGCGGTAATGGATTTACAAAATGTTTGAAATGCTTTTCTGCAGGATTGTTGCATTCTTCTCAGAGTGTCAGACGTTTTCCTATTCCGTCACTTAGTGTCTTTCCTCACTGGCCCCTCTTCCCTGGGAGCCCGCACAGAAGCTTAGTGATTGGTCTTCATTCTCTTCTTAGTAGGCTCCTGGAACTGAGTGAGCTATCCCAGGGACGGGAGAGGCAATTTTGAGTATTAAGGATGGAAAATAAGAAAAACAACATAAAAAATATCTTACTCTGCTGATGTTGAGGATTAATGTTAACCAGCAGTGAACTTTGGTTATAAGCATTACAGATTTCTTTCTTTCCTTTTTTTTTGTTTAACATAATTTTTTTATTGATTCTTTGGGAATCTCACATAATACACCCCAATTCTGCTCAGATTCCAGTCCCCCCATATCTTCTCCTCACCCTTGAAGCACCCCTCCAAGAGAAAATTAAAAAACCCAAACCAAACCAAACCAAGCAAGCAAGCGAACAAACAAAAACAAACAAACAAAAGTGCTTCTTCACTCCTCCACCTTGTCCACCTCTCCAACACCTCTTCATTCATCCTGGTGGCATCAGGAGCCACGGTGTACCGCACAGGATACACTTTTGTGCAGTCAGCTTTACTTGCTAATGTTCATTGCAATGAGTCACTGGCCTGGTTGAAGGCCTCAGGTTTCTGATACACCTTTATCACTGGATCGCCAGCAAACTCCTCTGTAGATACCCTGCAGCCACCCCAACTCAAGAAGATCCTGTGGGCATTGTTCCAGAGGGCCAAGCCCCTTCATGAGCTACAGCAGGTCCTAGATGGGGTAGATGTTACGGTGGGCCAACCCAGAGCCTGGCTGTGGGCTGGGATGGTAGCTGAGCTGGTCAGTCTGGGCCATTGGAACGGCCCATCTCAGGCAAGGTGGCAGAGCCAGCTCCTCCATGCCCATAACATCAGGGTCAGTTCTCCCCCACCTAAGGTGAGGGGTGGGGCCATCTCTCCCAAATGTAGGGGGCCATCTCTCCCAAATGTGGGGGGTCATCTCTCCCATGAGGGTCCGGCCTAACTCTCTTGTTGCAGTGTCCAGTGGGGTGCAGGGCCAGCTTTCCCAAGGCCCGTGAGGAACAGTTCTGGCCCAGCATGTCCCTTTGATTTCATTGTGTATGGTTCTTACGGCCCCATGAGGTGACACAGGCCACAGACATGAACACATACCCCAGTCTTAGCAGGACCACGGACCCAGACATGGCCCTCAGCAGCAGCTCGTGCTCAGATGACATCCTGGCTCCAAGATCCAAGTACAGGCTACTCAGATCAGGATGGCTCTGGCAGCACATGCCCCAGGACACCAACAAGGCCACAGGTTGCAGCCCCGACTCCGGGCTTCTATGTAACCTTTGGTGGTAACACGGGCCTTGGGCTTCAACACAGACCCCAGCTGCCGTAGGACCATGAACCCAGACAGGGTCCTCAGCAGCAGCCGGGTTTGGATGTCACCTTTGTCCCAGGTGACAGTGCAGGCCTTTCAGATCTGCAGGGGTCCCAGCGGTAATGTGGCCCTCCAACACCAACATGGCCCCAGACCTTGGGCATCCGCATGGCCTTTGATGGTAACAGGAGCCTCAGACATCAACACAGACCCTTGCTGCAGTAGGGCCATGGACCCAGACATGGTCCTCAGCTGCAGCTCTGGCCCAGACATCACCATGGCATCATGTAGCATCACGGGACACTCAGATCTATATGGCCCCAGCTGGCATATGGCCCTCGGACACCAACATGCACTCAGGTGGCTGACCAGACCCTAGGTATTGACACAGCCCTCGCTGGCAACAGTAGCCATGGACATCAACCCAGACCTTGGCTGTTATAGGGCCACAGACCCAGACATAGCCCAGGTTCCAATGACATCATGGCTCCTGATGGCAGCATAAGTCACTCAGATCTGTATGGCCCTGGCAGCAGCATGGTCCCCAGACTCCAAAAAGGCCAAAGGTTGTGGCCCAGACCCCAGGATTCTGCATGGGCCTGGTGACAATATGGACCACAGACGTCAACACAGAACCTGGCTACAGTAGGACCATGAACCCCAACACAGAACTTGGCTGCAGTAGGACCACAGACGCAGACATGTTCCTCAGCACAGCCCAGGTCTGGATGTCACCATGGCCCCAGTGGCAGCATGGCCCTTGGACACCAACATGGCCCCAGGTGGTGGCCCAGACCCTGGTAATCTGCATGGCCCTCGATGGAAACAGGAGCCGTGGACATCAACACAGATCTTGACTGCAGTAGGGCCACAACAAATTTCTTATTTAACTACCTATATGTTCTTTGCAGATGTTAATGCCTTAGGTGATCATTTCCCTTGAATGCCAATATTAGAAATGATATTAGCTTATTTACATAGCATCTTAATTATATTTCTCTCCTGGTACATTTCTGCCATATGCTGACATGATTTGCATAAACATGATTTCTCTCCTATGAATCAATATTTCTGATGCTATGCCGGAGCTCTGCTCTCCACAACACACATGCCAAGTCCTCATCCTGAGGGATCCTGTGTGGTCATTTCTGTTTGGAGGACACCACACACTACGTTATTCCCTTGAAGATTTGGTATTTGTTGAACGATGTTTTGTCCCTTAACTAGGTGTGCAACAAATGTCCACTTAGTTATTAGTCTATGTGAGTCCAGTTTCCACATGTGTAAAACAGGTATAAAGTAATTATAAGAGCCCAAGATGAAATATTTTGGATATTTAGCCCTCTACCTTGCCATTTCCTTCAGTGTCATTAGCTTATACCATTTGCCGTAGAAGCTTTTTGCTGTGTGACCCATAATAGTCTATATTTGCATAGCTGCTTACTAGCACAACACAATACTCATGTGTTTATGGAAATGCTGGTGTGGACAAATGTACTTCACTGCTGGTTACCAAAAATTATAGCATGTGCATTTTCATACAGTACTTAATTCTTGGTAGCAAATGGCCATGTTGCTAGCTTATGTATTTTCTATTTTACACCTTTAAGCATCATTTTAGAGTGTACTCCTCTCCTTGCCAAAACAAATGTGCTCTATGACGGTATACTGTCGTACACTGGCCTCAGTGTCCACATCTGCTCACTGTGCCTCTTGATTACATCATTTTCTCTCATCTTCTGTTCATCATGGCCAAAGGAACAAAGAGCTACAGTTTATATCCACCATCCAGCAGTACATTCTGTGATGTTCAGTGAAGTCATGTGACGGTGCTTTTCTAGGAATATGGCACTGTGTTATGAAATCGTACATGATCTGGCAGCTGTAATAGCGAGGGCCTGGCACTCTAAGTTGCTTTATCTGACTCTTGTGCATTCCTCACAGTGTGGCTCATCTGACAGCTCTGTCTGGTCTAGGATCCTTCCTCGGGGATCCCATAGCAACCTGTGCATATTTTTATGTGGCCACTGAGCCTGCTTCAGTGAATGCATTTACTATGTAAAATCTCACACATTAGACTGTGAGCTCTTCAAATTCAAGAATGGTGTTTTTGTTTCTTTGGTTCATCTCAAGCTCCTCCCTACCCTCATTGTACACAGTCATTAAATAAACAGTGAACAGTGCCATTCCGAGCACAATTTTCCTACTGAGAGAGGAAAAAGTTCAGAGTCACAAAGGTGTCTTGCTGTCCTCTGAAGCACCCCAGTCCTGACCCCCATCTCTGTCACGGCTGTAGCCCACAGAGCTGGTGACTCTGGACTCAAAGGACTTTAGCCTTGCCTGGGTCCGAGCAGGCTGTCAGCATGGCCGCCTGCAGCGCTACCGTCACAGCTGCGCTGTGCTGGAGAGCGACTGGGCTGTCAGGCTGGCTTCCTGCTGCCCTGCAGCTTCAGGGTGGCTGGAGATGAGAGGGCCGAATAGCCAACCTGGCAGCAGCTGCTCTTGCCTGGGGGGATAAGGGAGAAGCATGGAGAGAAAGGAGAGAGGGTCTGTGAACGCCAAATCAGCCTTACCTGTGGACTCTGGGTGTCTAACAGCAGGTAACTGTGATAGATGAAGGGTTTTTTGTTTATTTGTTTTTTGTTTTT